TGTGTGTGTGTATGTGTGAGTGAGTGTGTATGTATGTGTATGTGTATGTGTGTGTGTGTGTGTGTGTGTGTGTGTGTGTGTATGTGAGCGTGTGTTTGTGTGTATGAGTGTGTGTGTATGTGTGTACACGTGGGCACGTGTATGTGTCCGCCCTCCTGTTATTGTAATCATTTACCTTTCCTGGCCAAACGAGATCAAATCACGCTGCCAATTTCTTCCAAACGAAGAGCCAATAAAGTTAGTTTTTAAAATAATATCATTATCTAGAAAGGTAAACATTAAGGTTCTAAATAATTGACTTAACGGCACTAATTCTTACCTCAGGCAAAGGTAGATCATGTTTCCAAGTTTTCTTATTGTGTCGTTGTCTCGCTTGGCATCGCTACTTAAGTTGCCTTTGCTGTTTTTGTTTTTGTTATTGTTTTTTGTTATTGTTGTTGTTGTTGTTGTTGTTGTCGTCGTCATTTTTGTTCTGCGGATGTTGATGTGATCACGTGAGTTATCGCTGAACTGTAACGAAAATGGTTTAATTCAAAACAGTCCACTCTTTTGTTCCACTCTTTCATTCTTAAAAATGCTGGAGGCAACATGATATATTGTTACACATTTAATTTAACACATTCCATGATGAATTGACGTGTCTGGTGTGTACAACGTAGGGGGCAAAAATTTATTAGAAAAATAAAAACACCTTCTATTTGAAAAATGAATCAAAACGTTCTTACCAGCAATGTAAGCACCCTTTACCCAAAAAAGAGCGTTGATTTTCAAGATTTCTTTTTCTTTTCTTTTTTTTTTTTTTTAGAGAGGGACCAGTCTTTTGGAGTGCCATCTTTGGTTGTTACCGTTCACAAGTGTATGAATAATTCGTCCATTTAATTTATGCAGTGCCTATTCTTCTCCCCGGTCTTTATCTTCAAGTGTAGAATGTTGTCCAAATGTTATCATCAACACTTTAAAAAAATTCTAATCCCAACGTCTCCCTCACTCCCTCTACATCTCCCATCCTACTTCACCGTCTCTCTCTCATTCATTCATTCTCTCTCTCTCTCTCTCTCTCTCTCTCTCTCTCTCTCTCTCTCTCTCTCCCTCGCTCTCTCCCTCTCTCTCTCCCCCTCTCTCTCTCTCTATTTCTATCGCTCTCTCACTTTTTTCTGTCTTGCGCATGTATGTCTTGACAATATGTTTATATTTGTGTGTGTCCGCGTGCGCAAGTGTGTGTGTGTGTGTGTGTGTGTGTGTGTGTGTGTGTGTGTATGTGTGTATGTGTATATATATGTGTGTG